TTGGATATGCATAGGGATTTGATTCTTAGAAGGTCCCATTCATCTATTTTATCTTCTTCTGGTTGTAGGTTCCAATGGTTTTTAAGGTTGTAAATTTTACTAAGAGGAGACTACTAATCTTTTTCCCACAGAGCAGATGGTGGACTTTAACCATCTGAGATGCATAAGGCATTAGCAGCACTTCCTTTTTATTGACAAAAAATGTTCCATTGTATGGTTATATTACATTTTATCTATTCATTTGTCAGTTGATAAGGATTTTAACTGTTCTAAGTAGTGCTGCTATGAACATTCATGTTTTAGTTTTTATGTGAATTTATGTGTTTCATTTCTCTTGTATCATAATTTAATGAAGTTTTGTGAAAGCTCATTTTCACTGTGAAGAAAATGAAATATCAATTTATATTATTAAGACTGGATTAGGACAGGACAGGTTTCAGAGCTGCTGTATATAGGGTCACTATGGGTTGCAGGAACTCGACGGCACATAACAACAACAACAGTGTACATCTAACTAAGATGAAGCTGTTGACAGTTTCAAGCTCCTTTCCATCCATCATTACGTTGCCTATCAGTCCAGTGGTAGAATCTTTGTTTTCCTGATATTGAGACGCAATTCCTTGATCTTCTTCAACAAGTGCTTTAAGTCCTCCTCGTTTTCAGCAAGCAAGGTTGTGTCATTTGCATAATGCAGGTTATTGGTAAGTCTCTCTCCAATCCTGATGCCACACTCTTCTTCAAAGAGTCCAGCTTCTTGAATCATTTGCTCAGCATACAGATTAAATAGGTTTGGAGAGAGAATACATCCCTGATGCACTCCCTTGTTAATTTTAAACCACCCACACAGTGTTACCCTGATCAGTGCACACAACCACCTCTTGGTCAAGGTATAGGTTTCACATGAACCCCGTTAATTGCTCCGGGACTCCCATTCTTTTCAATGTCAGTCACAACTTGTTGTGATCCACACAGTCAGTACTGACTTTGCATAGTCAATAAAGCACAAATAGATATCCTTCTGGTATTCTTTACTTTCAGCCAGGATCCACTTGACATGAGCATTGATATTCCGGGTGCCCTAGCCTCTTCTAAAACCTGCTTGAACTTCTAGCAGTTCCCTATCTATGTACTGTTTACGCTGTTTTTAAATGATCTTCAGCAATGTTTTGCTTGCATGTACTATTAATGATATGGCTTGATGTTCATAGAACTCCATCTTATTTGGTTCTACAATTAATACCCTTGTTACAAGCAGTTGCGAAATAAGGAGGCACATTGCACTGGGAAAATCTGCAGTTAGGGACCTCTCCAAATTATTGGGTAGTAAGATGTCAGTTTGAGATCTAAGGTACGTCTGATTTCAGGCCATGGTCTCCCCTATCACTTGCTATATATCTGAGACCTGGACAATGAATAAGGATGACAGAAGAAGAATTGATGCCTTTGAGCTGTGGTGTTGGAGAAGAGAACTGAACATCCCATGGATGGTGAAAAGAACAAACAGATATGTCTTGGAGATGATGCATCTAGAGTCCTCTCTGGGGGCAAGAATGATGAGGCTTCACCTCACATACTTTGGGCATGTTGCTAGTTGGGACTATTCCTTGGAGAAGGACATGATGCTTGGAAGGGTGGAAGGTCAGTCAAGGAGAGGAAGACCCTCAACCAGGTGGATTAACACAGTGACTGCTGCAATTGACTCTAGTGTGTCAGGAAGTGTGAAGATGGCACAGGATAGGACAGGGTTCAGATCTGTTATTCATGGGGTCACTATGAGTACTCAACCTGATGGCCCCTAACATCAATAACAACATTTAACCACAATAAACTCAACTTGATGACTTGAAATTTTTAGCCTTAAGAAAAATTTCTGAGTTCTATGGTAATTTTAATTTTCTGAGAAACTACAAAATTACTTTCCTAATGTGTACCATTTCACATTCCCACATGACGTTTCCAATTCTCTAGCATGTTGTCAACATTTGTTATAATAATTTTATTTTAGACATTCTAGTGGTAACTCACTGTAGTTTTATTTTCCATTTTCTTACTGAATAATGATGTTGGGCATGCTTTCAGGTGCTTATCTTTTTATTTATAGTTTTTGAGGTCTGTCCAAATCTTTGCTTATTTTATTTTCTTCTTATTATTTAGCTGCAAGAGCCTTTTATATATTTTTGAAGCAAATTTCTCATCAGATATATGGTTTACAAATATTTTTAACCACTGTGAGTTTTAGAATTTTTTATGGTTTTGTTGATTTTGAAAAATGTATGCAACATGTCAATTATATTGTTCTCATTATTGCTACCTGAAAGTCCAACTGTGGTAAGACTGGCTTTAAAATGATTTTGTTTCACAAATATTTTATAACCTTGAAATGCTTATTTTTTTTATCTACAATTAGGAAAACAAGCAAAATTACATTTTTCAGATAATTGAAATCATACTATATAACTTGGTAGCTTTCTTTTGATGTGTTGACATTGTAATGGGTTTTCACATATAAAAACTCTTCATAAAAACAAGAATTTTAATAGCTGCATGGTATTTCACTGTATATACTGTACTTTTTTATAGCTAGGAGGTAAGTTTATTTTTTTAAACATCGAAAATGTTTTATTTTAATATTTTTGTTCCATTATTGCACATTTTCTTTTTCTGCTCTGCTCCCCCCCTTCCTGCAATGCACCCCTTGTTCCAGATTGTTATGTCTAATCATATATTCCTTTCGGACAGTTCTTCCTCTCATCTGTTCTAATGTGATGTTCATTACCTATCCCTATCCACTCTTTTCCCATTCTCTTCCCAATCCCCTCATGTCTATTTTGTAACAGTAGTGTATGCAGCATTTTCCTTTTGTGACTGAGCTATTTCACTAGCTTAACGTCTGGTATCAGGATTGGAGTTAGACTCATCAACAATCTGTGTTATGCAGATGACACAACCCTGCCTGCTGAAACTGAGGAGGACCTGAAGCATTTGCTGCAGAAGGTCAAGGACTATAGCCTCCAATATGGATTGAAGCTCAACATCAAGAAAACAAAGATTCTCACCACTGAGCCAGTTGGCTGCAGCATCATAGATGGTGAAGAGATTGAGATTGTTGACAGTTTCAGTTTGCATGGCTCTACAGTCAATACTGTTGGTACTAGCAGCTAGGAAATCAAAAGATGAATTGCATTGGGAAAATCTGCTGGCAGAGACCTCTCCAAATCACTGAAGAGCAACAATGTCAGTCTGGAGACTAAGGTGCACCTGATACAGACCATGGTCTTTGTAATACTTGCTATGCATCAGAGAGCTGGACAATGACTAGGGATGATAGAAAGAGTATTGATGCCTTTGGGCTGTGGTGCTGGAGAAGAGTATTGAATGTACCATGGACTTCTAGGAGGACAAACAAGTTCATCCTGGAGAGGGTGAAGCTAGACTGCTCCTTGGAAGCAAGGATTCTGAAGCTTTGTCTGACATGCTTTGGACGTGTTGCAAGAGGGACTCAGTACTTGGAGAGGGACATTAGGCTTGGGAGGGTGAAAGGACAGTGCAGGAGAGGAAGACCCTCGATGAGATAGATTGATTCAGTCAGTGAAGTAATGGGGATAGCTGTGTTGGAGACAATAAGATTGGCAAGGGATAGAGCAGAGTTTAGGGTAATTGTACACAGGGTTCAATGAGTTGCAGGTGACTCAATGGCACATACAAATAACAACAACAATGTCCTCCAGGCTCCCCCATGTTGTGTACTGTTTTATGAGCTTATTGTTTTTCAGTGATGTTTAATATTCCATTCTGTGAATGTACCATAATTTTTCTATCCATTCATTTGTTGATGAGCACTGGGTTCCTTCCATCTCTTTGCTATTGTGAATAATGAAGCAATAAATGTGGGTGTGATATGTCTGTTTGAGTCATGGCTTCGGTTTCTTTAGGGCATATTACCAGTAGTGAAATTGCTGAGTCAAATGCCATTTCTATTTCCAACTTTTTGAGGAAGTGCCAGACTGTCCTCTGTAGTGACTGTATATTCCCAAAAGCAGTGAATGAGTTCCAATCTCTCCACAACTTTCCAAGCATTTGTTATTTGTTTCCCTGTTGAACTTTGTTATTGTTACTGAGGTTAGGCTCTACATTTTTAAACTTATACAAGTGTTCAGGTCAGGTCGTTCATTTATATGGTTGCTATGAGTCGTCTACAACTCGACGGCACTTAACAACAACAACAACAACATATTTTTGAACTTTTTTTATTCCTTTTTTTCCTCTAAAATGATTTGGTTTAAAGATGACAAAAAGCCCTCTTTTTCCCCAAATAGTTTAAATATGTATAAAATAATGTGAGTATTCTTTCATTTGTGATACCTATTCATATACAGACTTCTTTGTGAGTATGTAATTTCTTTGTGCATTGGTTATATCTTTATATGATCTTTATCTCTTTTCTCTCTCTTTTTTGTATTTATTTTTTTCTTATTGTATACTGTTGAATTGGATCTGACTGGCACAGGAGGAGATTGTCCCTCCTTCTCCAGGGAAGCATCTGATGGATTCGAATCGTGCACCTTTGGGATTGCAGTGCAGCTTCTTGCCACTAGACCACCAGAGCTCCCTATTATATTATCTCTTATCTCTTTATGGTTTTGCATTTATTTTTCAATACAGAAATTTTCTTTCCCATAATTTGTAGGTCTATTGTTATTAATCAGTGAACACCATCATTTACCAGTTGTATTTGTAACTCATTTTTGGTTGTAATTTCCTGAGTAAATAATTTAGCCAGTGTAATTATTTTTCTTGTTGGCAATAAAATTGAAAAGTAATGAGCAAAACCTATTCTCCTCCAAAGCACCTAAAACATCAGAAACTAATATATGAGACAAAATTTTTCAAAGGTCAGAAAAAAAAATGTACAACCAGCATCTCAAGTGTTTCTGTCTCCCTACACAGGTGAACTGAAAGTCCTGGGTACAGAAGTAACACTTTTCTGAAGAGTGGATAACATGGAGGAAATGGAAGTAGATGAAGTGGATGAATGGGCCGAAACCTCTTCAAAAGCCTCCTTTCTGGTTGCATTTCGCAATGTCCAGGACACTGTGACCGAGAGCATGTTGGTCTGGCTTGTGCGGTCTATTAGTGGCCTGTCAGAAGGAGACTTCAGGGTGGAAATAATTCCCAATAATGCTGTCATCACTTTTCTAAAAAATATTGGTAAGTAAGACAACAGCTTTTTGCAAACTTGTGGCTGCATGCCACTTTGAAATTAAAGGCACTCCACAATGGGTCTACTTTAAAAGTTGTTTATTTCTTCAAATTCTTTGTAAGAAAGAACTGTCAGGGAATGCATCTAATTACTTCTGCTATTACTTATATTTTGCATTTATAAGTGCTTACAGACCCCTGGTGGTATAATGTGTAGCGTGTTGGACTGCTAACTGCAAGGCTGTCATTATGTATCGTGGAGTCAGAATTGATTCATAGATGAGCCTTAAGTGGGTTGTCAGAGGCAGTAAATTGAAATCACAGGGGAGGAGATTGCCCATTTTTCTCCTGTGTAGCAGCTGGTGGATTTGAATCGAAAGCCTTTGGGCTGGCGAAAGGTAGGCTCTTCAAATCCACCAGCTGCTCGCTAAGAGAAAGAGGGTCCAAGAAAGAGAGGAAGACCCTCAATAAGATGGATTGACACCGTGATTACTACAGTGGTCCCAAATATTACAGAAATTATGAGGATGGTGTAGGATAGGACAGGGTTCAGGTCTGTTGTTCTCAGGGTCACTGTAGATCATCATCGGCTCACTGGCACCCAACAACAAAAGCCAATCTTTATGGAAAGAAACAATGTTTAAATGAAATATTTGGCACAGGTTATTTATGAGATGTCTGAGTATTTGCTTTTTAATCATCTATGATTTCTATTTATCCATTATCTTAAATCATTTCTCTAGTGTCAATTCTCCTTTTTTCCACTAGGGTTTTGCCCTGAGAAGCATCATAGTTTTTCTTTCGCATTGAAGTTTTGTTCTTAGTAGAAAGATACCAAGTGAATGCACACTTAGCTGACGAGCAGTACAGGTTGTGACCATTTCAGACGCTGTTAAGCAGGCAGAGTGAGCGAGCCCTGGGAGGCTGTCTGATGCCAGCAGGTCCAATTTAAGAGACTTTCTTTCACGTGTTGCAAGTTTGGGAAGCAATTCCTATTTGAATACAAATACCCCAGTGAGGAAGAGTACCTTTTTAGCAGCTATAACCTATAATGAAACGCTTGGGAAATACTTTATAGGGAAGCTCCTTTTGTGGGAAAAACGTGAGTTATGCACTCACTGCCTTGTTTGGTTATTATAATTGATCTCGGTGGGGATCTACTTGAGCTCTGCTATTGTCTGTATGGAGGTGGACTGGTAACCCAAAGGCAACATTTCCCTGGTGGCTTGAATCCACCAGTGTCTCTACCTCAGAAAGATACGCAGTCTCCTCCCACGTGATTTACAGCCTCTGAAAACCCATGGGAAGGTCAGCTCTGAGTCAGTTCTAACTTAATGGCAGTTTAAGTTTTTTAAATTTAGACTTACTCTGAACTCTCAACGGATTCAAAGTAACTAAATAAAATAATAAACATTCGAATCAACCACAGACAAGCTCCTGGCAGAGGTAGAAGGCACCACTATTCACTTCCCTGTATATATATATATATAAAATTTATTTTTTTTTTTAAGGAGACTCAGTGGCATGTCACTTCTGTGTTCTTTCTAGTCTTTTTGACCTCCTGCCCCAGGTACACACTTGGGCTTCCCTGTGCCCTGCTCATGAATTTCCGTAGCTTCTTTGCACCGTTTAATTAGATTGCACTTTCCTTCGTTTTCTGGCTTTCAGGTCTGAATTGTGCCAATATGACATGCTCTCTCAGGTTTTACTCCAACTACAAGGAGGCCTCTCACTTCTTTTACTGGTTGTTCCCAAGGCTCGTTGTTGTTTTTATATACCATTGAGTCAGAACCAACTCATAGCTGACCCTCCAGCAGGTTTTCAGAGGCTGTAAATCACATAGAAGGAGACTGCCCGTCTTTCTCCCCCAGGGCAGTTAGTTGCCTTTGAGTTGGCAGTGCAGCTTTGAACCGCGGGGCAGTTGTTTCTGAGCTGGTATGTGTCCTCAGTGTGGAAACCATCCTGCATTCTTTTTTTAGGGTGCTGCCTATTCAGTCCCCAGATAGCCACAGTGAGCTGAACAGCAGGGTTCTGACAGTAAAATGATTTTCAGCCTTCACTGTCCTGGTCTTATCTCTCCTGATTCAGGTTTTACCTCAGTTTTTCAACACTTCAACTGTTGTGTTAATTTTTACTACTTTAGTTGTAAGGGAATGTAGGGAAGCTACTGCGTTATACCACCACGTTGCTCCTCCTTTCAACTTGATCTCATCTAGTGAAGTAACTTTGGATCCATAGTTCCAAAATAACATCAAACTGGAGGTCACTGTTAAAGATAGCTGTGCACTCAGGGTAAACATGCAGTGTAAATAGAGTTTGGCATGGTGAAATCTAATTTTGTATAGTTTAGCACTAAGTTGTAATTCCTGGACATAGCATCTAAAATCTCATTATATTAAAAAAATGTTTTTATTTTGGTGAAAAGGTATATGGCCAAAGACAAAGCATTTCCACAACTAACATTGATGACAGTCTTCTTCAAGTTGTGTTATCATTCTTGTTATCCTTTTCTGAATAACTCCATCATCAATTTCTTTTAAACTCACTACTTTCTGAGCTTCCTATCCAAGCTTTTCTTTTTCTTTTGAGATAGAATAGAGAGCATAAAAAACATGGGGCCAGCAGTTCCCATGACTGAAGGCCCCAAACCATGCTTCTCTGAGTATTTATTGAGACTATCCAAGCTTGTGAGTTGTCATTGTCAACTTGATCTTACATAGACACTTCATTAAGAGAACATAATGTCAAAATAGATATACTTCACAAATTAAGAAAAGCTATTTTTTTTATTTATAGTTTACTTCTTGGGATAGTTTTTATTTAAGACTTAAAACTTAAAGATTTTTCAGGGCAATAATATTGGGAGTTCTTCCAACTTCAGGACACCAGAAAGTAAGGAATCTAGTTATATTTTAAGTTTTGTTCTACATTTCCCCCCTTTTGATCAATAGTCTACAGAACCTTTGTAATTACGATTACTTTTCAAAATGTGTTTTATTCTATTAGGAAATGAGACTCCAGACCAATAAACTGATTTTTATTTGTAGATGTCATGACATTTGTTAAGGAGTGTTGTAAACACCCCAGAATTCAGGAACTTCAGATTTTTCCACATCTTCTGGAACAAACAAGAATCATCCGAGTTGAAAATCTGCCACCTGATGTTGCTCACAATTACATAGCAATTTTCTTTGGGAGTTCCTCAGGTGGAGAAAATACAATAACTAATATCCAGTATTTCCCGGAGGAGAGGTCAGCCTTGATTGAGTTTTCGGACAACAAAGGTAACACCAACTTCTCTCTTAATGTTTAAAGTGACTACTAACCATGTGATGCATGAGTGATGTCAAACTAGGGGTCACAGTGATAGTAAAGATATCTTTTTTTTTTTAATTTTATTGTTTTTGTGTGTGTACTGACTCAGATCTGACTGGTACAGGAGGAGATTGTCCCTCTTTCCCCGGCAGAGCATCTGGTGGATTCGAACCGTGCGCCTCTGGGATTGTAGTTGCAGCTCCTTGCCACTAGGCCACCAGAGCTCCCCAGTAAAGATATCTTGTCAAGGCCACTGTATACTTACTGGGATATGCTTTGACCAGATTGGTGTGACAATATAACTTAAATAATTGTGGGTTGGGTTTTTTGATTGTTCAGTAGCAGAAAATGAAATAATAAAACTTTCCTTAATTTTCAATTCACCTGCCAGTCACTGCTTTATTCTGTTGCCTTCATTAGTAATACAACTCCTTGAGTGAATCTATACTTGTTTCCTCTCATTGTTTCTTACATCCAGTCTAGAAAGGTTTACCCCAATAATTCAATCAAAATCGTTCTTATCAAGGTCACCAGTGCTCTGCATTGCTAAGCTCACTAGCTATTTCTCAGTCCTCGTGTTACTTCGTCTCTTAGTGTTTGTTAAAATTGACGGTTCCTGTCTGTTAGATGTAATTTTTCATTTGCTGCTAGAATGCCGGAGAGCTTGAGTGGCCTCTGTAGGGAGTTACACTGCAAATCCACAGGTAGCACCTCTCCAGTGTTTCAAATCTACCAGCTACTTCCTGCTCACTTTTCTCTCCTTTTGTATCTTGTAAGACAAGAGGTGATGCAGGTCACATTCCAGGGAAACTCCCCCTTATGTGAGATAATAGCAATGACCTGATTAGGGGTGTTTCTGCCCTTGTTCTCTTGAAGAGATCAACGTGGTCTATACCCAGCTTAGCCAAGACTCTTCAGCTGGACCAGTAAGTGTTCAGAGGCACTCCACTCCACTAGTAATCCTTGACCTAAAGATGCCCAGCTCTCTTGTTCTGTGACTTGATAAGCTAACTCCATGGAAAAGTGTCCAGTGGCATTTTATTTTGCCAGGAAGCCTCCTGACTCAATGCATTTAGTTCCGTTTCTCTGTGCATAAACTTGTATTCCATCTCATGCCAGTTTCTGGGTTCTAGGCCATTCTCCTGGTTCTGCTGCCACCATTTCTCTGCCATTGCTTCTGACTGTCTGTGCATCCTCCAATGATAAAATGTTTCTCTCTTCCTTCTAAGTCTCCACCAGAACATTTATAATTTGACACCTTAATTCCACCAATAGACTCTTCAATACAATGTTTTTCCTATTGCTGTTGTTTTGTGCCGTTGAGTTGCCTGCGACTCATAGCAACCCTATATACAACAGTCTTAAACCCTGCTCTACCCCTTGCCAATCTTATTGTCTCCAACACACCTATACCCATTACCCCTGTCACTGAGTCAATCCATCTCATCTAGGGTCTTCCTCTCCTGCGTTGTCCCTCTACCCTCCCAAGCATGATGTCCCTGTCCAAGGACTGATCGCACCTTGCAGCATGTCGAAAGTATGTCAGATGAAGCTTCAGAATCCTTGCCTCCAAGGAGCAGTCTGGTGTCACACTCTCTAGGACGAACTTGTTTGTTCTCCTAGCAGTCTATGGTATATTCAGTACCCTTCTCCAGCACCATGGCTCAAAGTATCAATTCTCCTTCCATCATCCCTAGTCATCATTCAGGCCATGGTCTTTGCAAGTATTTGCTATGTATCAGAAACCCAAGGCTTCCATATTTTAGGTATTTTTTTCTGTTAAAGTAGCACCCCACCTTCTTGGCACCAAATATTTTTGACTGGGTTTTATAGAGAAGCAAAATCAATGAAACTTAAATATATACATATACACACAAACATAAGTACACGTGCACAGAGAGATTTGTCTCAAAGAAATGGCCAAATTTCATGGGTCGGATGGTGGGTAAGAGACTTCTCATGACTCACATAGTCACAAGGTCTGATGAATCCTGGATTGGTAGGTCAGACAGTAATCTTCTGTTTTCTGAGGTTGATGAGTCAAAGATTGGCAGGCAATATGGCAGACTTCTGGCACAAGTCCAAAGAACTGAAGGTCCTGTGGTGTTATGTCAGATACAGAATCCAGATGGACCAAAAACCATATCCACATATATTCACTATAGGCCTCTCTGCAGAGGAAACTCCCTTCCCTACTTGGCTGTTTGTAGCATATCTCATCACTGAAGTGAGCTCCTCATATTAGACTTTATCAAGGGAATGAATACATTATATCAGGTCTCATCAAGGGAAGGAGTATGTTATGACTACCAAATGAGGGCAGACTAGTTCACACATAACTTTAACTATCAGACTAGTATCCCTCTCTTAACAGAATTTTGTTTGTTCAGTGAAGTTAAGTCACCTCTAACCTTGTGTCTCAATATACGGAAACCCTGTCCAATCTTGCACCATCCTCACAACTTCTGGTGTACTTAAAATGCACAATGTCAGTACATCTTTCACTCCTTTGCCATCCAACCTCTCAAATTCGCAGAATTCTAAGTCCTTTTCTCTCATACATCTGTTTGCTGAAACATCGCAATTGGTATCCCATCAATTTCTGGAGCTCATTAGTCTATGACAACAAATTTGGAAGACAGCTATATTTGTTCCTATTCCAGAAAGGGTAAACCAACAGAGTGCAGAAATTAGAGATAATAAGGTTAGCTCAGGATAGGGCATACTGGTCACTGTGAGTCACAAGCGACTCAATGGCACATAACAAAAAACAATACCACTAATATATCATGCAAATAAAATCTTCCAGATTAAAAAAAAATACTGAAATAGTACATTGACAGGGAAATTCCAGAAATTCAAGCTAGTTTCCATACTTATTCAGTCTGTATACCGAGAAAATAATTCAAGAGACTGTATAAAGAAGTATATGACATCAGGATTTGATGAAGAATCAGCAAAACCTACATTATGTGAACAACACAACCTTGCTTGCAGAAAGTGGAGAAGACTTGAAACACTTGCTGAAGACGTCAAAGACTTCAAATATGGACCATATATCAACATCAAGGAAGCAACAATCCTCATCACTGTACCAGCTGACAAAATCTTGATAAATGGAGTAAAGATTGAGGTGAAGAATTTAATTTTATTTGTATCAATGCTCATCACTGATGGTACAGCAGTCAGGAAATCCAAAGATGTGTTGCAGTGGGGAAATCTGCTGTCAAAGACCTCTTTACAGTGCTAAAGAACAAGGATATCAGTTTAAAGACTAAGGTGCACTTGAACCAAACCATGGTATCTTTAATTGCTTCCTATGCATCTGAAAGCTGAACAATGAGTAAGGAGAACAGAAGAATTGATACCTTTAAATTGTGATGTTGGAAAAGAGTGTTGGGTAGCTCATGGACTACTAGAAGAACAAACAAATTTGTCTTGGAGGAAGTGTCACCAGAGAGCTCCTCAGTGTGAAAGTTCATCTCACATACTTTGGTTATGTTGTCAGGAGGGAACTTTGGGAAAGTCCCTTTAGACTTTGGAAAAAGATCTCATGGGAAGGTGGAGGATCCGTGAAGGGAGGAAGACTCTCATTGAGAGTGGACTGATACAGTGACTATAACAATGAACTCGAGTGTGGTGGAGATCATGATGATTGTGCAGAATTGTGCAGGGTTTCAATCTGATGTTCATAGAGTTGCGATGAGTTGTAGTCAACTGACAGCACCTAACAGTGACAACATTGTATTTCTTTTTTAAATGAGAATGACATCACTTCTAATGTTGTTTATTCTAATTTCTCATATATTACTGTGTGCATTTATAAAATCTTTAAGGCCAGATTTCTTTTTTAAAAAGTTTATGTCATTATATATATATATCTATGTATCTATGTATCTATATATCTATATATCTCCATGGAAAGATTAGATTAATTTTACTAAACTTCTTCTAAGTAAACATGGATAAAATAAACCTATTTCACTAGGTGCAGATTACCTCCATTGTATTCATCAGCAGTTCTTCTCAGTTTGGTCATGACCAACAAACCTAGAACAGACCTTAATTTGTAAAATGTAGGTGTACTAGAAATAAGCACTGTAATAGAAAAAATTACAGGTCATGATGTCCTGCTGGAAATGCTAATCTCCTTCTTGGAAAATGAGGAGAGAATCTTACTTGCAAAACAACTATGGTGTTAGAATTTTAAAAATTGGCTTTTCTAGTTTTCACAGAGGAAGATATTCAGATAGCCAACAGATACATGAAGAAATGCTCAAAATCCCTGAAATGCTCAAAATAAGAGAGATGTAAATCAAAACCACAATGAGATACTATCTCACCCCAGTAGCAGTAGCTATGTTTAGTAGGGCAGCTAGTAATAAATGTTGGAGAGGATGTGGAGAGGTGAAAACTCTCATACACTGTTGGTGGGATTATAAAATGGTGCAACTACTCTGAAAGTCATTTTGGTGTATCCTCAAAAGTGTGAATATAGAAATGCCATGTGACCCAGCTATTCCACTACTAGGAATATACCCCAAGGAAATTAGAACTGAGACACACATAGAGATATGTACACCAATATTCATAGTAGCTTTATGCACCATTGTAATAACATGGAAACAGACCCAATGTCCAACCACAATTGAATAGATTGATAAATTATGGTACGTTTGCACAGTGGAATATTGTACAGCACACAGGAGCAACAATTTAGAAAAATACTACTTAACTTGGGAGAGGCTGGAGAGCATTATGCTGAGTGAACTAACACAGTCTTTTAAGGACACATACTGCATATGATTATAATTGTAAAAATAGAAGGATAACTAGTAAAACATATATGGACACTCAAGGGGGGAAGGGCTAAGGATGGGTAGGGCAAAACCATAGGGTTACACAGTTTGGTGGTGGTAGAGGGAGAAGGGAATGGCAAAGATCTGGATGAAAAGATTAGTGAGTGGGCAAGGTCCAATGGTGATTAATTTTATGAAACATATGCATGAGAATGATTGTATGAAACAAAATATGAATGAAGAATAGTGCAAAATGCAATGTATATTAACTTTGTAAGCAAACCAATTTTTTTTTTAAAAATGGCTTTTATACCCATTGTGTTAGCCCTTAATGCGGTCATGATCTCAAGCTATCTTCACTGAGGAGGACACATGGTCTTGCAGATCGTCGACAGCTATGGGACCAATAAGAATGTGCTTTCTACACTGTAAAAAGTGGTAGTGGAGAGTGAAGAGACTGTGGCAAAATGTAACCAGAAGAATCCTAGAGATGGAGCTACAGTTAAAGGTTTTGCTTGCTGGATTATTGAAGGAAAAGCTGACTTGTAACTGCTCTGAGATAAAGTTTGCTGGACCATAGAGGAAAGGAGAAACTTCTTGCATTTATGCTGCTGAACTTAACCTAGACTTTCCCTTGTTGACTGAGAAGCTGTCTGAACTAATTGAGGAATTGTATCTTGCTGTTAGTCTGGTTTGGGATTGGATATCCTTTGTCTCCCCCAGTCCTCAACGTATTTCCCTAATAAACCTAACGGCTGTGAGTAAAGTCTGTGAGCCAATCTACAACGAACATTGAACCCAATGATTGGTAGACATAGGTGCAGGAGTATGTGGGTCAGCATATCTGACCATGTAGCTATTTGTTTGGCACTATGGAATAAGGAGCTCTGGTGGCCTAGTGGTAAGAAACTGCACTATAATCTCAAAGGCACATGGTTCAAATCCACCAGCTGTTCCACAGGTAAAGGATGGCAATCTCCTCCAGTGTGATTAACTGCCTCTGAAAACCCAGTTAGCTATGGGTAGGTGTTGACTAGACAGGACACAGTGTAACAACAACAACAACAACTTGGCCATCTCTACCTTGCTACTGTTTTCTTTACACCACCAAATCTCTTGAGTAACAGAATAGAGAAACAGCCATGCTCAGCTGAAAGATGGCAGTCAACCATGTAACTTTAAATGTGTGGACTCTCCGTAGTGCTCGCAGTAATCCCATCACCTGCATCAGACTAACCTCTTCTTCTGAGTTTTCTATAGCAGGATTTAACCTCTACTTTTCCCTGTTCTAGAACACCCACTTTTTACAAATCCATCTCGGTTCTGATTTCATTGCACCGAGTGTGACTGAACCAATTCAAAGACTTGCATTAGTGTCACATCTCTTTCTTTGAAGCTGCTTGACAGTGATGCCATTTTACAAAGATGTACTGCTTTTCAGTCTCATTAGTATCAGGATTTTCTTTTATACTGTAGACAACTTTTACCTTTTGAAACATCACAATTGGACTATGTATGAGTGGTAATCTGTCCTCTCTCTCTCTTTTTTTAACTCTTTAGCAGTGGACACCTATTTGGCCAAAAAGCTTGTCTTCAATGGAACAACCATTTCTGTGTTCCCATATTATGCCTCTCTGGGCACAGCCTTGTATGGAAAGGAGAAGTCCCTAAAAAATGAAGCTACAGTATTTCAAAACTTTGTGACAGAATTAGAATACAAGTGGTTTAATGAACAACAAGAGAGCAACAATAAGGTGAGCTTTCAAATTAGCTTCCATTTAATGCCTTTGTGCTAAATCTGGGAGTCTGGGTAGAATACACACCTCATAGTTAATCCTCTGGAGGAGTCCTGAGAGCTGAGGTAATTTGAAACCATCTGCTAATCATTGGTTGAATGAAGGCCTGTGAGAGAGGTATTTAATATACCTGCACAGTCTTTGTTATGCAGACAGACAAATGGGACTTTGGTGCTGGTGAAATTCATTAGGCAAGAAGCAAGAAGTACAGTTGGAAATTTGCCCTGGATGCTTTTTTGGGGTTACATCACACTAGGATTCTTGGAAGTGTAAGTGAAAGAGCTCTCTGGCACGTGGAGTACTGATGAAATACAATTGGTACACAATGTATCACTGCCTTTTAAAGTTTAAAGCTGTGTTATGTGTTGAGTTAGAGAAGTTTGTGAAATCTAAATTCTATTTAGACACACCTATAGGAAAATTTTTGAAATAGACACTGTTCTCTTTTCTCCCTTTACAGTTTAAAAACATATTCAGCAGGAAAGACCATCATTCAAATGGAGATGTTCTGTATTCAACCCAAACCAAAGAAGGCCTGCCCCTCATGCTGATAAAGGGAGATGTTTGGTATTTTGGGGTAGGTTGCACTATTTAGTAAATTACTTTCTGGAATATCACCATTTAGTTACACTTCAATGATACATGTCCTTTACTTTTTATCAGTGGACACTTACTTAGATGAAAAGCAATGGAATATAATTCATTGATCTTGTCATCTAGGATCAAGGATTAAGGTCATATAAATTTGAGAAGTTAAATAATGCAAGGTTTATGCAGGGGTGTACTTACTATCCCAATATTTTTCTTTATGTACTTGTATGAGGTGGTCCACATTTAAACACAAACCACACTGTAAAACTGTAACTTACTGTAACTGTCCTCTTACTGTAAACTGATCTTAATCTATGCTCATCTCAGTTGTATATATTTTTTCCAATCCAATCAGCATAAAGGAGGAAGAAGAGCATACCTCATAGCTTAAAATCACCCCTCTCAGGCACATCTTCCTATACCTGCCTGGACACTTTCCAGAGGCAGGACTAAAGTGAAGAGAGAATGAGAGATTACCTGTGATGATCTTAAAAGCTCTGTTTGACTGCTATCTATTCCTTCCCTCCTATGCTTGGAACTCCTTTCTTGGAACTACTAATTAGCAGATGATATGGCCACTGTGTCCTACCTGAAGACAGCCACAACACTTAAAGATAACTCTATCAAGATCATCTGGGGAGCTTTAAAAAATAGGTACACCCAAGTCTTACTTCCAGAGATCCTGATTCTTATTGGCCAGGTGTTTAAGTATCTGTAGTTTTTTAAAGATTTCTAGTTGGTTTTGGTAAACCACTAATACTGAAAATCACTGGTTTGGATGCTTTGTCAAAATTCTATAGCCCCTAACATTGTGACATTTGATACCTACACATTCAAGACGACTGAGACTAGAACCCCACCGAGAAGACTGAGGAAACTCTTATGGATTACCAGCCATTGCAAATATTCTTTCTTTTTGTTTTGGCTCATGAGAAGACAGAGGGGAGGTGGCTAGATGCCTTCTTCATTCTCTGAGAAGAAACGAAGATTTTCTTGTTGTTGTCACGTGGGTTCAGGACCTTGTCCTCAGCGCTGCAATTCTCAGATGGCAGAGAATTTTAATCTTACTGTTTTATCCAGGCAGGATCTGACTCATGCTAATCAAACTCAATAGAGATTTGCTTATGAAGCTAGAATTCCAATTTAATTTGCAGTGAGAAGGATAATGGCTATGACTCCTGTGGTGGCTTGCATGTTGCTATGATGCGGGAGCTGTGCCTCCAGTATTTCAAATGCCAGCAGGGTCACCTGTTGTGGACAGCTTTCAGTGGAGCTTCCAGACTAAGACTAAGTGACAGGACTGGCCATGTACTTCTGAAATAATAGCTTTTCAAAACTGGGTAGCAGAGGAACACTGGTGGATATAATGCTCTAAGATGAGACCCTCAGGTTGGAAAGTATTCATATGCGACTAAGGAGGACTGCTCCCTCAAATTGTTGTTTTTGTTATGTGCCATTGAGTTTATCTTAATGACTCCGATGGAGTAAATCTCTCACTCAGTGAAGGATCTTCATTTGTTTATGTGGCAATACACCAAATGAGGAGAAACAGTTGCAAACATCCATTAATAATTGGAACACAAAATGTACAAAATACAAGTATAGGAAATGTGGAAGTTGTGAAAAATTAAATAGAATGCATCAAGGTTGACATCCTAGGCATTAGCGAGATGATATAGACTGCTATTTGCCATTTTGTATCAGACAGTCTCATGAATCTTCTATCCTGTAAATGACAAATTAAAAAGGAATGGTGTGCCACTCACCCTCAAGAAGAACATTTCTAGATCTACCCAGAAGTACAATACTATGAGTGATAGGATACTATTAATACACATACAAGAAAATCTTGTTACATGAAGATGTGTGGTTTAAATTCACCAGATGCTCTGCTGGCGAAGAGGGGCAATCTCCTCCTGTGCTAGTTGGATCTGATTTGACAGAGAGAGAGAGAGAGAGAAACCCACCACAATAAAATAAAAAAATAATAAAAGAAGAAAGTATTATTATCCAAATACACACACCAATGACACATAAACCAAAGATGAAGAAATGAAAGATTTTTGTAAAGTTTTGCAGTCTGAAATTGATTGACCATGAATTCAAGGTGCATTAATAATAATTGGTGACTGGAATGCGAAAGTTGGAAACAAAGAAGAAGGACTGGTAGTTGGAAAATATAACCTTAGTGACAGAAATGAGACTGGAGGTCACAGGATAGAATTTTGTAAAAGGAGTAATTTGTTCATTAATGGCTTACATTTTAAAAAATCATAAATGACCACTATATACATGGGCTTCACCTGATGGACTACACAGGGATCAGACTGACTCCATCTGTGGAGATATTGGGGAAATTCAATATTAGGTTGCTTCTTGGAGGCGAGGATCTTGAAGCTCCATCTCACATAGTTTGGGCATGTTTTTAGGAAGGACCAGTCCTTGGAGAGGGATAATATGTTCAGAAGGGTAGAGGGTCAGTGCAGGGGAGGAAGACCCTGGATGAGATGACATGACACAGTGACTGTGACAATAGGGGCAAGTGTATCAGAGACAGTGAGACTGCCTCAAGATAGGGCATGATTCAGAGCTGTTGTTCTTAGGGTCGCTATGAGTCCTAGTTGATTTGATGACAAATGACAAAACCAACAATAGTCAAAACTAAGCCATCATGTTGACTGGATCAAACCATCAACTACACATGTATAAGTTCAATTGAAGAAAATGAAAACAAATCCACTAGAACCATTTTCAAAAATTGTTTTAATTTTTTTATTGATATTTTAATGAAAGCTTACAGAAAACTTAGATTTTCATTCACTCATTGTTGCACATTTTCCTCCCTACTACCCCACAGTTCATTCTTCTCTTTAAAAAGATTCATTGTTGCATAATTTCCTCCCTCCCTCCTGTCCCCCTAGTTCACTTTGATATGCACCTCTTATTCTGAACTGTTGTCATGCGAATAATACCTAATCATATATTTCTTTCACAAAATTCTTTCCCTCATTGATTTAAATGCAGTCAGTGTCAATTATTTATCCATTCTTTTCTTAGTTTTCCCCAACCTCCTTATCAGTCCTGTTTTATAACAGTGACATTATGCAGTAGTTGCCCTTTTGTGACTGAGGTATTTCAGTCAGGATAATGTCCTGCAGAGTCACCCATTTTGTATAATATTTTATGAATTCTTTGTTTTTCAGTGCTGTGTAGTATTCCAAACCCTCTTAAGAATCAATTTGATGCATTGAACACTAAAGATCAAAGAAAAAAAGAGTTGTAGAATGACAAAAAGGTCATTCTCCAAAGAGAATAAAGCTTCTCCAAAGCATAAAGTTATCAAAAAGCCAGGGGAGAAAGAATTGGACAAAATGGATGTCAGATGAAATTGATTTTAAATTTATTATTAATTTTAATGAAAATATATAGGGACTTTGGATTTCCGTTCATTCACTGTAGTACTTCCCCCTCTCCTAACCCTCCCGCCTAGTACACTACCCTCTTAGAAAATTAAAAGAAAAATTCTTTCATTGTTTTACAAACCCTCCCCCAGGTCCACTCCACTATGCAGCCTTTACTCTGGACTCCTGTCATGACAAAAATACCTAATCACATATCCCTTTTAAACAGTTTTCTCCCTCATCTGTTTCAATGCAGTATACATTATTGAACCCATCTTTCTCAGTCTCCCCCCAACCCCGAGGTCAGTCCTGTTTTACAACAGTGGCACCATGCAGTATTTGTCCTTTTGCGACTGAGATACTTCACTCAGCATAATGTCCTCCAGGGTCACCCATTTTGAATAATATTGCATGAGTTCCTTGTTTTTTAATGCTGTGTTGTATTCCATTGTGTGGATATACCACAGCTTCTCTACCCATTTATTTGTTTATGGGCACTTACGTTGTTTCCAACTCCTTGCTATTGTGAACAAAGCTGCGATAAACATGGGTGTGCATATATCTGCTTGGATGTCAGTTATAGTCTCTTTGGGATATATTCCCAGCAGTGGAATTTCTGGGTCAAATGGTATCTCTATTTGCAACTTTTTGAGAAAGCGCCATACCTCCTTCCACAGTGGTTGCACCATTTTATACTCCCACCAACAGTGAATAAGGGTTCCAGTTTCTCCACAACCTTGCCAGCATTTGTTGCTTACTGTTCTGTTAAATTTTGCTATTCTGACTGGGGTGAGATGATATATATCATAGTTGTTTTGATTTGCATCTCTCTGAGAGCTAGGGATTTTGAACATTTCTTCATGTACTTGTTGGCCATCTGAATGTCTTCTTTGGTGAAGTGTCTGTTCATATCCTGTGTCCATTTTTTTCAATTGGATTATTTACCTTTATCTTGTTGTGGTGCTCATGTATTTTATAAATTCTGGATATAAGTCCCTTATCTGATATGTCATTACCAAATACTTTTTCCCAGTCTGTGGCTTCCCTTTTTGCCCTGTTGGAGAAGGTTTTGGATATGCATAGGGATTTGATTCTTAGAAGATCCCATTCATCTATTTTATCTTCTCCTGGTTGTAGGTTTTTCAGGATACTTGGAAGACTGTTTATGTTGTGGATTAGGACTTCTAGCATTATTCCTAGCTTTTCTTTAATGAAGTTTATAGTCTTTGGTTTTAGTCCTAGGTCCATGATCCACTTTGAGTTGGTTTTTTATAGCGAGTGAGGTGTGGATCTTGCTTAAGTCTTTTGCAGATACTTTTCCAATTTTGCCAACACCATTTGTTAAAAAGGCTGTCGTTTCCCCACTTAACTGATTTCACCTCCTTGTAAAAGATCATTTGACCATAAGTAGATGGGCTGATGTCCGGGTTCTCAATTCTATTCCATTGGTCCGTGTGTCTGTCATTGTACCAGTACCATGCTGTCTTTACCACCATGGCAGTGTAGTAGGATTTGAAATCAGGGAGTGAGATACCTCCTACTTTTTTTCTATTTTTAAGGAGTGTTTTGCTTATTTGGGGCTTCTTTCCATTCCAAATGAAACTGGAGATTGCGTTTTCCATCTCGTTGAAGAATGGGATTGGCATTTGTATTGGGATTGCATTAAACGTGTAAATTGCCTTTGGTAGTATTGCCATTTTCACAATATTGAGTCTTTCTATCCATGGATAAGGGATATTCTTCCACATCTCCAGGTCTCTTTTTGTTTCTTGTAGTAATGTTTTGTAATTTTCTTTGAACAGATCCTTTGTGCTTCTGGTTAAATTTACTCTCAAGTATTTAATCTTGTGATTACCTATTGTGAACGGTATTGTTTTTCTTAGTTCTGGCTCTGTATTCTCTTTGTCACTGTAGAGAAATCGAACTGATTTTTGTATATTGATCTTGTATCCTGCTCCTTTTCTGAATTGGTCCACTGTGTCCAATAGTTTTCTTGCTGAGTCTTTAGGGTTTTCTACGTATACTAATCATATCATCTGCATAGAGAGATAATTTTACCTCCTCTTTGCCAATTTGGACACCTTTTATTCCCTTCTCTTGTCTTATTGCTATTGCTAAGACTTCCAAAACCATATTGAATAAGAGAAGTGAGTGTGGGCATCCTTGCCTAGTACCTGTTCTTAAAGGGAATGTCTTTAACCTCTCTCCATTGAGAATAATGTTGGCTCTCGGGTTTGCATACATACTTTTTACTATGTTGAAGAAATTCCCCTCTATTACTATTTTGTGGAGTCTTTTAATCAGGAAAGAGTGTTGTGAAAATATTATTATTAAACCTAACTTTATTATGGGGATTTTTAAAAAAATATGGAACACTTCTTGCTGATCTTCTCTGTATCGTTCCAATTTTAGTATATGTGCTGCCGAAGCGAGCACAATTATGGGCAAATTTTTGACTTATGGAGGAAGAATCGAAAGGAGATGGAAGGGATATACAGTCACTGTGTCAAAAAAAGAATTAGACGACACTGAACCATTTCAGGAAGTAGCATGTAATAAAGAACAAATAATACTGAAGGTAGAAGATAAAGCTTCACTGAAGACTTTGTCACAAAAATAAGGACCCAGGAATTGATGGAATACCATTTGAGGTGTTTCAGGAATACAGTTGCAACTCTGGATTTGTTCACCAGTCTCTGCCATAAATGTGGAAGACAGCTAACTGGCTGGAAGATTTGTTCCCATTCCCTCCCCAAAAGGATGATCCAACAGACTTTTAAAATTATCAAATTTCAAAACAACTATGAGATATTATCTCACCCCAGCAACAATAGCAGATTTCATTCAACAGGGCAGCAAACAACAAATGCTGACAAGTTTCTGGAAAGACTGGAACTGTTACACACTGGTGAAAATGTAAAATGGTACAACCACTGTGAAAGGCAGTCTGATGCTTTCTCAAAAAGTTGGAAATAGAAATAGCATTTGACCCAACAATTCCACTACTGGGAATATACTCTAAAGAAACCAGAGCGATGTATGCATACGTATATTTATTGCTGCGTTTTTCACAATAACAAAGAGATGGAAACAACCCAAGTGCCCATCAACAAGTGAATGGATAGAGAAACTATGGTATATACACAGAATGAAATATTATGCATCATTGAAAAACATTGAAGTCATAAAATATTACACAACATGGGGGAGCCTGGAGGACACTGCTGAGTGAAATATCTCAGTCACAAAAAGGACAGAAAATGCATGACACTGCTATTATAAAATGTGACAGATATGAAGGGACTGGGGAGAGAATGGGAAAAGAGTGGATAGATAATGAATACTGCATTAAGTCAGTTGAGAAGAAGAACTGTCTGTAAGTATATATATGATTAGGCATTATATATATGACAACAATCTGGAATAAGGGGTGCATTGAAGGGAGGGCTGGGGGAGAGGAAAGAAAATGTGCAACAATTTAAAAATTTAAAAACAAAAAAACTAAGTAGAAAAAATATCCAACAGTATAATTAATTTCATATGCAAGTAAAATCTTGCTGAAGATTATTTAAAAATTACAGAAAACTGCCACAAATTTAAGCGGGATTCAGAAGAGGTTGTGACAAAAAGGGTATCACTGTTGATATCAGATAGGTTTTTATTGAAAGCAGAAAATACCAGAAAGATTTTTGTGTTTTATCTTTTATACAAAGCTTTTTGTGGGAATCATAAGAAATTGTGGCTAACATTGAGAAGAATGGAAATCCCAGAGCAATTAATTGGGCTCTTGTGAAACCTATTCCTAGACCAAGAAGTAATTGACTAATTAGAATAAGGGAAAACTGTGTGGTTTAAAATCAGAAAAGGTATTCATCAGGGTTGTATCCTTTCTCCGTACCTATTTAATCTGTATGCTGTCCAGATAATTCAAGAAATTGGACTGTCGTATCAGGATTGGAGGAAGAATCATCAACAACCTATATTATGCAGATGACACAACCTTGCTCGATGAAAGTACAAAAGACTTGAAACACTTACTGTGGAATATCTGAGTCGAAGACTTCAATATGAATTTCATCTCAACATCAAGAAAACAAAAATTATCACAACTGGACCAATAGACAACCTCATAATAGATGGAGAAAAGATTGAAGTTGTCAATGATTTTGTCTTGCTTGGATCCACACACTTAATAGCAGCTAAAAAATCAAAAGATAAATTGCATTGGGACAATGTGCTATCAAGGACCAAACGTCAAAAGAGCAAGGATGTTGGTTTAAAGTCCAAGATGTACCTGATCAAACCTTGTTATTTTTAATTGCTCCTGTGCATCTAAAAGTTGAACAGTGAATAAGGAAGACCAAGGAAGAATTGATGCCTTTGAATTGTGGCATTGGCAAAGAACCTTGTATATTCCATGGCCTGCCAATAAACAAATCTGTCCTGAAAGCAGTGTAACCAGAGTGTGCCTTACAGGCAAGGATGGTGAAACTTTGTCTCAGTTACTTGAGATATATTTTCAGGAGGACCCAGTCCTTAGAGACATTATATTGGAAAGGTCAGTGAAAGATAGCAGGACCCTCAGTGAGAGGACTCAGTGACTACCGCATGGGTTTGAGCATGACAGAGATTGTGAGAATTGTACAGGCTAGAGCAAAAATGAAGTCTTTTGTTCATAGGGTTTCTATGGTTCATAAATCAACTCAACACACTTTTGCTATTCAGAGAAACAGGGAGAACCTCAAAAGATGGATTGACACTGGCTGTTAACAGTGGACTTCAGTACTCTGGAAAGGTCCCTGACAGCAGATTTTTCCCATTGCAATTAGTCTTTTGATTTCCTAACTGCTGGTGCCAAGAGTGTTGTTTGTGGAACCAAACAAGCTGAAATGGTTAACAACCTCAATCTCTTCTCCATCTATTATGATGCTGCCAGTTGGCCCAGTGGTGAGAACCTTTGTCTTCCTGATGTTGAGCTTCAGTCCATATTGAAGACTACAGTTCTTGACCTTCTGCAGCAAAAGCCTCAGGTTTTCCTCAGTTTCAGCAAGCCAAGGTTGTCTCATCTACGTAATATAGGTTGTTGATGAATCTTCCTCCAATCCTGATGCCACATTCCTCTTCACAGAAGTCCAGCCTCTTGGATGATCTGTTCCACATAAAGATTGAAAAGGTATGGCGATAGGGTGCATCCCTGGTGTACTCCTTTCCTGATTTTGAACCACTCAGTGTTTCCCTCCTCTGTTATGATGACTGCTTCCTGGTTTCACATGAGCACAATTAGTTCTTCTGTATCATTCCAGAATATGAAACGAGTTACATGTCATCATTAACTAGTTCTTGATTATTATTTCTTTTATTTTTTTTCGTTAAGGCTGATGTCATTGTGAACTCTGTTCCTGCGAATCTTCAGCTTGAAGGAGAAGCACAAGCTCAGGCTCTTTTGGACAAAGCTGGTCCAACGCTCCAAATAGAGTTGAATGCTGCTAGGGATGGAAGCGAGGAGCCAGTGGGAAGCATGGTTATGACAAGCGGAGGGTCTCTGAACTGCCGAACTATGTTTCATGTTGTGCCTCCAGACTGGAACAATGGAGTAGGATTAACTAAGCAGGTAGAGAAAGCCCTTGGTTCTCCACTTCACTTGAAAGCCTTGGGAATCTCTTTCTGACATGATATATGATATAGACCTGTGGTTCTCAAGTAGATGCGATTCCCCACCAGAGGAGACATTTGGTGTGTTAGCATTGCAGCTGCTCCAATGAATGGGTAGAGACTAGGAACATTGCTACACAATCTACAATGCACAAGCTGGCCTCCTACAATGTGGAATTATCTGGCTTAGAGTGGAAACTCTAGTTTGATTTAATTCTATCTCTTTTATAAAATCTTTACTGTATTTCATGGAAAGTGCATAAGAACTACAGTTACTTCATTGTAACTAACCTAGAGAAATGAATTCTTATAAAAAAACTTGCAGATTAATTTATAATCTTTATTATAACAAGAAAGTGTGGCCTGAGGTGTGGTGAAGAATGAAGGAACTTTACCTTCTTTTGAAAACTCAATTTTCACTTCTCTGCTTTAATCGTAACTCATTTTTTTTGCCAAGAATATAAAGTTATATTACTGAAAATAAAGGTATAAAAATAAAATAATATTTTATAGTCAGCTATAGATCAGATGTGATAATGGTTACCTATGGTGGACAGTGTTCAGTGGAGCTCCCTGATTAAAACAAGCTTGGAAGCTGGAGTGGCATACCTAACCATATATTCCTTTTATACAGTTCTCTCCCTCGTCTGTTACAATGCCATGTATATTATTTATCCCCACTTTTCTTAGTTTCCCCTCAGCCCCCATAACAATCTTGTTCTATAACAGTGGCATTATGCAGTATTTGTCTTTTTGTAACTGAGATATTTCACTCGGCATAATGCCCTCCCTGGTCACTCATTTTGGTTACTATTTCATGAGTTCCTTGTTTTTCAGTGCTGCATAATATTCCATAGTGTGAATATCCCACAGCTTCTCTATCCATTCATTTGTTGATGGACACATAGGTTGTTTCCAACACTTTGCTATTGTGAACAAAGCAGTAATAAACATGGGTGTGCATATATCTGCTTGTGTGACAGTTCTGGTTTCTTTAGGGTATATTTCCAGTAGTAGAACTACTAGGTTAAATGCTATTTTTATCTCCAACTTTTTGAGAAAGCACCATACTGCCTTCCAGAGTGGTTGCACCATTTTACACTTCCACCAACAGTGAATAAGGGCTCCAGTTTCTCCACAACCTCACCAACATTTGTTGTTCACTGCTCTGTTAAATTTTGCTATTCTTATTGGGGTGAGAAGCCTGGAAGCAGGAGCAGCATTCACTTCCGAAATGGCTTGCCTCCAGAAACTCTATATACGAATAGTGCTCAGGCCTTTTGTTCATAGGGCCGCTATGAGTTATCTATGACTCGACAGCACCTAACAACAATAACAACGATGACATAGAGCTACATTGGCCTAGTGGACAGAAATTCATGCTACCAAGCCCAAGGTGGGTGATTT